TATCCAGCCAATTTTGCACATTTCTGCCTCTGTTTTTCTTTTTCTTTGTTTTTTCAAATTAGGATCCAAATAAAGCCCAATCATGTCAAATGATATTGTCTTCTCAGTCTCCTTTACTGTGCAGATCTGCCTCCACCCCTTTCCCCTCCCCCCACCCTTGTAACTCACTTCCTGAAGAAACCAGGGTGGGGTGGTGCTGCACAGGGCTCCTCCAGGCCCCAGGAGGGAAGGCTGGCGGAGGGGCCCTGGCCAGAAGGAATGTGCATTGCTTTGGAAATGGATTGTAATTCCCTCCTTATCTCCTTTTCGGGAGGGTTTCTTCTCTCGTGTGACTGCTTCCTGACCTTTTTTCCCCTCTCTGCAGGTACACACTGAGGTAACATGGGTTAGAGTCATGTGCAAGACACGTGCCCCCTTTGTCCCAGACCCCTAAAAACAAGTCTCAGACTCAGGGAGGTGTGGTCCTGCTTCACAGATCTGTGCCATTGCTGCTCCCTGTAATAAATGTAACAAAGGCATCCAATCCTCCTGGTGGCTTGTACGGCTTCTCCGAACGAGCAGCTGAGATCCCAGGGCTTGACCTCCTGCATTACACCCAGGTCATTTGTCTTATAAAGTTCCCCTGAGCCTAGATTTTGCTGAGTGCATTCCCCTGCAATCAGTAAAATAAATAAACTTTATTCTTTAGAAGTTCTGGATTTACAGAAAAACTTTGAAGAAAGTGAAGAGTTCTCATATAGTCCTCCCGGTTTCTCTCATTATTAACACTTTACATTAGTACGGTATATTTGTTACAGTAATGGACCAATATTGATTCATCACTGTTAACCAAAGTCCATACTTCATTTATATTTTCTTTTCTGATCCATGATCCCATCCTGGATGTGGTATTACATCTGGTAGTCATGGACCCTTAGGGTCCTCTTTGTCAGGACAGTCTCTCCGACTTTCCTCATGTTTGATAACCCTAACAGCTTCAAGGCATGCTGCTCAGGTACTTTGTAGATTGCCCTTTTGCTGAGATGCATTTAATGCTTTCCTCATGAGTAGATGGGGGTTATGTCATTTTGGAAGACCTCTGACATTAAGCATCATAATCATCACATCCTACTAGCAAGGGTACATACTATCAACATGACTTATCACTGTTGATGTTGACCTTGCTCACCTGGCTCAAGTAATGTTTGTCAGGTGTCTTCACAAAGTCACAAATTTCCCCACCCTCTTCCCCAACCTATACACCTCCTTCCACACTGTCCTTTCTTTGGAAGAAAATCACTATTCACAGCCCATACTTAAGGAGGGGCAGTGATGCTCCACCTCCTTGAGGGCAGAGTGCATTATTTCAAATTCTGCACAGGAGGCTTCTCACCAATTTACTTACTTATTCATTGTCTACATCAGTATGAACCTGCAGATATTTTAGACCTGAGTTATAATCCAATACTGCTTTATTTTGTTGCTCAAAGAGCTTCAGCTTTGGCCACTGGGAGCTCTTTCAGTTGGCTCCTATGTCCCTGTCCCTTTGACATGCTCCCTTCAATATGGTTTTTCTTTCTTTTCATTGAGAATAACTTGAGGGGTATACTTCCTTTCAGGCATCACAAGGGGCTCCAGGCTCATCATGAACCCATCATGTATATGTCCTGCCCCAGTGCTTGAATCAGCCATTTCCCCAAGGAATCTTGGCTCCTTTTACTGGAAAATGGTATTAGAAATCAAAATCTGGGCACTAGGTGTGCTTACTGCTAGTGGGGTAACATTGCTCTATGTCCCCTCTCAGGTGATAGAGCAAAGAAATATGTATGTACACCAAGCCTTGTATATGCACATATCTATACATAGTTTTATATGTAACCATCTCTATGTACCTAAATTAAGTTAAACACAGATTCATGCTGATGTCTCCAATTCAGTCCACTATCACATGGATCATTCTAGCATCTTCCTGATAGTTAAAGATGTTCTTTGGTATTTGTTATAAAATGGTAGTCAGATCCAGATTCAAATTCAATTTTTTAAGATTGACATTTTATAGGACGTGATGTATTCTTACATCAGAAGGTGTAAAATAGCTGGTTTTCTATTAGTGATGTTAGCAGCCATTGATGATCAATCCCTAGGATCTATTAATTCTTTAAAGTTTAAAAAATGGTAATTTTTCATGGCTTTGTCTTTCTTCTTTTGATTAACTGGAATACTCTGTATCATTGGTTTTCAACTGGTGTGCTATAAGAATTCTTAAAATATGCAGAACCCGACTATTTAGTCAGGGGCACTGACCTCTCTTCCCTCAGGTTGTCAAAGAAAAAAATGACAGCGGCCAACACAATAGCCATCTGGTGTGAATGAATCATAGTTATACCATTTTCTTTGTCAGATCAGCAAGAAATATATTTTTTGGTGTGCTGCAGAATTTTAGCAATTGGTTTATGTGTGCCATGAGATGAAAAAGGTTGAAAATCGCTGCTCTATATAAAGAGAATTTCCCCTGGCAAACTATTTGGTAGCCCCCAGGTAGAGCCTATAATAAAAAAGACAGGATAAATGCTTGATTAATTATTTTAAAATAATGAATTTATTCCCTAGCATCCCCTGAGGCTGACCACTGAGTTATTTTTGTTTTGAGTACCATTATGAACATGGAATAGCTCTTGAGGCACATGGTGTAGTTCAGCAGTCTACCCCCAGCTTTCATCCTGGGCAATCTGCCTCATCCAACAGAATGGGGGAGCAGGGAGGCATGAAGCGAGGCTCTCCTGGCAGAGGCAGAGAACAGTTTGGAAAGGGAGGCAAGGTAGGGGAGAGAAGAGGGAGGAAGGGGCAACTGAGGACTTCCATGTTCATTCATCCTGAAAGAGCTCTGATCTCCAGAGTCATTGATTCTTGGATAACTGTTGCCTTGGTTTCAGAGTTTTTCATGTTGCCTTAGAAACGGCAGAACCATCTTTGAAAGCCTTCCTAAGCAACCAGGAAAAAACACATACAACAGCCCAAAGCTCTGGAAATGAAATATTTGACCCTAAATCCTTCAAGGAAGCCTAGTGACTAAGAGAGAAACTAAGTCACTTTTGGAATGTTAGGGGTAAGGGTTAAGGCACTGATTCTCAACCCTTGTTGCTTACCAGTCACTTAAAACATTTAAAAACAACCTAAGCTTCTGTGGCTCAGTGGCTTGAGTGCCAGCCCTGCAAACCAAAGCATTGCCGGTTTGATTCCTAGTCAGGGCACATGCCTAGGCCCCCAGTTGGGGGTGTGCAAGAGACAACTGATTGATTTGTCTCTCACACATTGATGTTCCTCTCCTTCTCTCTAAAAATTTTTTAAAAAACAAAAACAAAACACCTAAGCTTCAACATAGCCACCAGATTCTAATTCAGTTGGTTTGGGGTGGAACCCTGCAACTAGCAGTTTTTGTGAGCTTTTGGCAAGGTGATTCTAATGTTTAACCAGGGCCATTCCCAAGCCCGTTACAACTCTGATGCAGTAGTGACTTGTGTCGCATCTACAGTCTCATCAGCTTGATCCAGTTGCCTGATGTTAGTACACGCCATCTCTGCCATCTGATACATGACTATAAACTAGGAAAGATGATGCCAGGGACATCACCCTCTCCCCTGGGATGCTGAGGCCTGATGACTGTGGCTGACCACCAGCCAACAGGTCTTTAACATCAGACAGAGCACTCTGCCTATCCTCAACACCAAGGGCTGCTGCATCTACTTGGTGCAAGCACTGTTTTAAGTACTTTAAACCTTTCAATATTCATCACAGGTTGGTACCACCTCCATTTAACAGATGAGCAACTGTGGATCTGACAGAGGTAAATGATGCAAAGGTCACAGGCCTGTGTCTGGGTGGATTCTTGGGCTCTTCCCTACCCCATGTTGTCACCTACAGGCTGTGTGACTTTAAGCCCAAGCCCTTGTCCTTTCCTTTGTAATAAATGTTGACTCTTGATGCAGAGGCAATCCGCATAGAGTGCAAGGCCCCAGAACAGGAGGGGAAGGCCCGGCCTGGGGTGAGAGACCCTAATCCTTGTTCCTCAGCATCAGGCCCTGAGTAGCCCCCTGCCCTGACAGGGGGCTGTTCCCCACCTTCTTCAAAGCTCAGTAGTCTGAGAGTATGTGAGGGTTAAGTCTAGAAAGCCTTAGTCACCCCTTCTACCTTCAAAACGTTCTCACTTCCCTTCCGGTGCCCACAGGATTTCACCCACAGCTCTTTCCTCACCCTTCCTCGGAAAATTTGATGGCTCCTATGTATCCATCACTGCCTATCACTATGCACTGCCTATCACTACCCCTGATTCTTGACCAGCATTAGTTACTAACTAGCCCTTCCCTAAATCTCCATCTCAAAAAAAATGACACCTCTATCCACCCAGTCTCGAAACTTTGACCTCACATCCTAGTACCATTCTTCCCCAACATTCAACCAGCCACGGAGTCCTCAATTCCACCACTCAGGATAGCTGTTACACCCATCGCTGCTCTCCATCCCCACTGCCCTAGGAAAGGCCGCGTCTCTGAAGCCAAAGCCGCCTCATTTCCTTTCCAACCCCCACCCCAGCCCCCGTGCTTCCCGACCCAGCCAGACCGCGCTCCTTGTGTTCCTTGGCTCCCTAAGGAACCAAGGTTTGTCCCTAATTACATCCTGCTCAGGTTACAACTCTTACGTGCGCCCCACTCTCCAGACCCGCACTCGGGAAGTTCTACAGGTGCCGGATTGTGATGTAGGCATAATTTACCCTCTACCCTCCACGATCTGGACGCCCGCACCGCCCGAGGCCCAATCCAGAGCAAGGTTTCGGTATCCCTAGAGTCCGTCCTGCTGCCCAGGACATCGCCCAAACCCTGCCCTGATTGGTCGCTGCCCCGGCCAGTTACCGCCCAAACTCCTGGGTCCCGCCCCTGAGTCGTGCAGAGATTGGCCCTTGCCGCCACGCCCAGGCTCCTACTGGTCCTGGTTGGATTCGCCAGCCGGTCCACGTGGGCCGCGGGAACAACTAAGGGGAGAGAAGATGGCCTTAGCCGGGGTGCGCAAGATGGAGCTGGAGGAAGCTCTGGCCCTGGGGCCTAACTGGCGGCATGCGTGCCACGCGCTGCTCTACGCGCCAGACCCTGGGCTGCTCTTCCGCCGCATCCCACTGCGTTACGCGATCCTGGTGAGGAGGGGGCGCATCCGGCCACTCCCCGCCCGCCACCTCCCCCAGGGGCCGACTCTGGAGCTCCAGGCAATCCCCGATTCCCTCCCCTGCAGATGCAGATGCGCTTTGACGGGCGTTTGGGCTTCCCCGGAGGTTTCATGGAGTTGCAGGACGGTAGCCTGGAGGACGGGCTGAACCGCGAGCTGATAGAGGAGCTGGGGGAGGCAGCGGCTGCCTTCCGCGTGGAGCGGGCAAACTACCGCAGCTCTCACGCGGCGTCCGGCCCACGGGTGGTGGCTCACTTCTATGCCAAGTGTCTGACGCTGGAGCAGCTGACTGCAGTGGAGAAGGGCGCGCCGTTTGCCAAGGACCACGGGCTGGAGGTGTGGCCAGCCCAGAAACCTCCACCCCTATAACCTCTCTCCGCCCAATCAATTTCCTGGTGTAGTTGAGGTGTTGGTCGTCTTTCACCTGGATGACTGACCACAGCCAGCCAAACTGGTCTCCCTGCGAGGGTCTCTCCCCTCTTCCACCTTTTCTGGCTGCTGTAACTAACTTTCTAGAGCACACCCAACAAAGCCTCTCTTCTGCTCCCCATTTATAATGGCCAGGCATTGCACCCTAGGCCCCTGTTTTTCTTGGATGGAAGATGTGCCCTGATACTTGGCAGGGAAACCTAGAACTTAGGCTAGGGGAATAGGTGGACTGATGGTGCGTGGAGATGGTTCTCAAACTGGCAGTTATCAGAATCATCTGGGAGGCCTATTAAAACAGTGCTTACTGGCCCACTCCCAGAATTCCTGGTTCAGTGGTGCAACAGAGGGAACATCCTGAAAATTTGCATTTTTTCAGAAGTTTCTCAATGGCTGGTCTGGGTACCACATTTTGAGATCTGACATAGGGCCAAGCAGGCATCCTGGAGGTGGCAGCCACTAAAGGTTTAGTGGTTTGGGAAGGGTTTGCCTTTACGGAGGTGGATAGTATGACTTGGGTTACTTGTCTGCAGAGAGCTGGGCCCCATAGGCTTTATGGAGATCCAAGTCCCCGGGTCTGGTTCTGCTGGACTGAGAAGGGGTGAGGAGTCTGATCTAGAAAGGCTGGCTGGGATGAGCAACTACCTGGGCTCCCAGCTTCTCCTCTGCCTTTCTCCTTTCACAGGTGCTGGGCCTGGTGCGGGTGCCCCTGTATACCCTGCGGGATGGTGTAGGAGGCCTGCCTACCTTCCTGGAAAACGCCTTTATTGGAGCTGCGCGGGAGCAGCTGCTGGAAGTCCTCAAGGACTTAGGACTGCTGGAATCTGATTCTGTCCGTGGGACTTAAGAACTCAGCTCTGAGATCAGGACCTTTGAACTCCGGAGGGAGGGAGGAGAAAGGGAATGTTTTCTAGGCCTGGGCCTGAAGGTGGTAACGTATTAAAAAGAAAGAAGTGTGTGCAATATGTTCTGAGCAGAGAGCTCTCAGCAACTCATGGCATCAGGGACAAAAATCTGCAGCTCACCGCAGAAGCCCTGGCAAATTCCCAGAGCCTGCCTCCTCCCTGTACCTTTGCACATGCATCCCGGCAGCCCCCAGAGATGTGAATGCTAAGTCTGTGCCCACACACAAGCTGGTGCCTCCCTGACCCCTAAAATTTAGTTTAACCAGGAAGTGGCATATGTGGGGCGTAAGTTGTCACCATCCCACTCTCTTGCTGGGGAGGAGCTTCTGAACCCCATTCCTACATGGCTGCTGTCCATGGTCTCTCCCAGCTCATGATTGTTATGGAGCGCAGAGAAGCAGAGGACCCTTTTTCCTTCTGAAAGTGGTTGTACCCTTGCCTGGGAGTTGGCCAAAGCAGTATACTCTGAAAGGTGGTAAAGGGTCCTAACCAGCCCTGACTGGTGTGGCTCAGTCAGTTGGGTTGCTGGTTTGATTCCCGGTCAGGGCACATGCCTGGGGTGCGGGTTAAGTCTTCTCAGTCGGGGCGCATGCAGGAAGCAACCGATTGATGTTTCTCTCTCACGTTGGTGTTTCTCTCTCTTTGCCCCTCCCTTCCCTTGTCTCTAAGAATAAAGAAATAAAATCTTTTTTTAAAAATGTGCTCTAACCAACACCTGTCTCTTGTGAAACTGAACAGAACGGGTGAGGAAATGGCTTATTCTCCTTGGCCTGACCTTGAACTTGACACATCTGAGTCCTGATGCAACTGCTTCAGTATTTTCATCTTTTGGATCCCTTAGATTCTGGGGACATCAAAAGGAAGCTGACCCAGTCCTGGTCTACCCATGCTGTGACAAAAAGAGCCTCCCAATAAAGAAGGGCTTCTGGGTGGGCTTCTCAGCCCTTTAGGTCTTTCAACAATGTGTCTGAGGTATTGGGGATCTAGGGGTGAGGGCCATAGGCAAATATTTTAGGTTTTCGTAGTGACTGTTTGGTTCTGCCATGTCGGAAATAGAAATGGATGATACATAAATAAATGGGTGTGGCTGTTTTCCAATAAAACTGATTTTTAAAATTTTTTACTTATTTTAAAGAGAGGATTGGGGAAGGAAGAGAGAGAGAGAAGCATTGATTTGTTCCATCCTGCATTCATCGGTTGTTTCTTGTACATGCTCTGACCAGGGACCAAACCCACAACTGTGGGGAACGGGGACATCACTCTAACCAACTGAGCCACTAAGCCAGGGCTCAATACAACTTTTTAAGTCCCAGTGACCAGCCAGTGGGCCATAGGCTGCCGACCCCTGCTGCAGAGAGGAAGAGAGAATTAATCCTTTTCATTATGATGGCTGTCTACTTGTTTTATTTATGTCAATGTTGGCAATGAAGGATTGATGCCAATCCCACCTTGACATTTCTAACTTTCAGCTGGGATGGTTTGGAGGGCCTTCTCTGAGGCGTGGTCAAACTGAATGATGAGAAGCAGTAGCCACATGGGGCGTTGGGAGGAATGTTCCGAGGTTTTTCTGAGAGTAGCATGTGTTAAGGCCCTGGGGAAGAATCTTGGCAAATGATCCCAAAACAAGGGTAGGGGAATTGGACTGCGTTTTTCAATGGTGAGGGCAGGGGATTTGTAGCCGTCTCTACTGGAGCGTGGCCTAGAAATAGCAGAAGGCTGCTGTAATTGGACCAGAGTGAGCCCTCAGATAGGAGGAGGGACAGTCCTGCAGCCTAATGGGGCTCAAGAAGGAGAGGGTGGGAACCTGGAGAGGATGAGGAGGCTAAACTAATGGGAAGATAATGGAGTTTGACTCTCTTCTTGGTGAAATGAAGTGAGACCGTCAGCTGGATGTGGGTGAAAGGTGTTCTCAGAGGGTATGAAGTAGTCACTCATCTTGGTATCGAAAAGCAAGTCAATTAAAGAAACAGAAGGCAGGCCAGGGCCGCCCGTGAGGCAGCCAGTCAGGGTAGGAATGCGGGTGTTCAGATGTGTCCGTGGGGTGAGTGCCTGTGCTCGTGCTTCCCCCACGAAGATGCTTGAGGCAGACTTGGGGTTTTCCCGAGGAACACAGGGAAGGGAGAGAGAGGCAGTTAGGGTTACAGGAGAAACAATGATGGACTATGAGTACGAGTTTTAATGAAGGCAGGGGGGACTTCAGAGGTGGTGGAGAATCGGCGGTCTTGATGAGGTAGAGCTCCCACACAGGTGGGGTGGGGAGCTGGGTCTGAGCTGGAGGGGGTGCGTTTGAAACTGACAGGAGAGCAGTCCCAGGGGAAGTCAAGATCTACATGGGTGTGCGCTCGCGGCCACACATCCTCTGTGAACAAGCGGGGTGACCGAAAGGCCAATGACGGCGGCCAGGCGGGGAATGTGGGCACAACAGGACAGAAGGACCCTGCGAGGAGAGGGGCTTTAGAGAAGGGAGGCGTGAGTGGTGGTCTGGAAGGGCCACAGAGAGTGGTGGGGGCCCCAGGGGCAGGTCTTGGCCTTTGGAGGTGGGGGCAGGGAGGAGCTGCAGAGATCAGTGAGACAGACACCTAGAGAAGTTAGTGACTCTTGTCTTTTTACTCCTAATAGAACCCTGAGCCTTTTGTAGACTCTAGACTAAATCCTCAGGGCAGGCCAGCTGGAGGGAGTGGACACTTGAGTGACTCTGGGATACCCGCCCACCTGTGACTGATATCACACAGCCCTCAGTTCACCTCCACAGAGGAGGGAGCACCCCGAGGCCCAGGAAGATGGGAGTAACTTGCCCTTGAGAGCAAGGCTAACAGGTCCCTTACGCAGGATCCCACCCAGGCAAACTTCAGATGTGATCTGGCCCAGCCTCACACACCGCCGTTCTTACAGTGTCTTTACCCTGTACGAGCCTTTACACTGGTACAAGTGTCTCAGCACATCTCTCTCAGTGCCTCCTGGCAGTTCAGTCATCACTTATTTATACCAAATTTTCTTATCTTTTAGTTCTCTGGTGACTATGGAGGGAGTGATCCGTGACTCCCCGTGTTGTCCCATGCACATACTCTCCCAGTCACTAGGTCACGTCTCAGTGAGCACCCTCAAAGTGTTCATCTGTGGCTTGAGTCCATTTCACTCCCCTCCTCGGCCCCCCAGCCCAGAGGCAGGCAGGGGGAGGTGAAGCTCAGCCTCTGCTTTCTCCTCCCTTCCCCATTACCTCTCAGCCCCGGGATAGGGAAACCCAGCAGGGCAGCCCTTGTAGGATGCTCTTGGCCTTGTTAAACCCAGTCACCAGAGGTAGAGGCTTCCTAGCAATCCGTGCCCCACAACTAGCTGCTGAGGTGACGTGCAGCCAGCACTTGACCTGCCTTTCCTTATCCGAAATGCTGTTTTGTGGTTGCTGTGGTGAGGGCGACCTAGGCAGCCCTTGGGATGCAGCTTTGCAGAGCTGTACCCCACACCGTTTCAGTGCCCAAAGCCATCTCCTCTGCCCTCCACTGCCTCCCCCACCCCTGTTTGGTCCTGCTCGTGAGTGCATTTTGTTCCTTGGAAGGTGAGTAGCCTGGGCTGCCTCCCCGCAAACACGTATTTCTGCCTTTCTCTGCATTGTCAGCAAGATGTTCTCACTTCTCAATTCTGTGCTTTTTCCTTGAGTCTGTGGCTGCTGGTGCTGTGCTAACACTTTCTTCAGGCCCCACACTGTCCGGAGGCAAAGTCCCCTCTGGTATCGAGTTTCCAGCAGAGCGGCTGCTTTTAGGCAGACATTTGAGGCAAGAGCAGCTGCCGCCTTCCTCAATTACTTGGACCTTCTGAAACTGCTCAGGGAACTAGACCAGGGCAAAGGTGGGCAAGTGGGAAGGGATGTTTTCTATGAGTTTCAGCTTATCGCACAGAAGTTAGACTTCTCCTCCTAAACCCTCTACCCCACACAGATAAGTGAAGATTTTTAAAAAATAGAGGCAAACAATTTTGTCTGTGATGAAATCAGCGAATGGCATCAGAATTAGAAGCATTCAATGAAACTCAAGAGTTCTTTAGTTGACTGAGAGATCACCCACAGCGGTCACATGGAGTTCCGAGTACATACAGCGAAGTCTATCGGAGATGCAAGGAGGAAGCAGCAGCAAGTGGGGGCACTGCGCACACACACTGCCTCGGTCCTTGGCGGATAAGGTGTCAGGGCGGGCACACGGGGTCTAGGATCTAAATGTTAACGACACTGATGGCAACAGCTGGCATTCTGGCAAGTGATTGCCGTGTGGTAGGGACTGTCCTCGGCTCTTTTCACAAACTAACATACTTGGTCAAAACTACCATGTGAGATAGAAATATGCTTACATCCATACACCAAATAAACTTAGGTACAAAGGTCAACAAAATTATACACTTTACCTAAAAAACAAATGTTGACTATAGCTTAAAACAGAGAACATATCTTTAAGGACCCAGGGAACATTTACTGAATCAATCATATATTGGGCCTTAGGAAGCCTAGAGAGTAAATTCTCCAAATGTGTGTTATGACACAGGGTTTGGGGTCTGAGCGCCCTGCTGCAGAACCCCTCACTCCCTGCGGCCTCAGCACACCACCCAGGAAGAACTCTGCACGGAGGGACACTGCAGTGGCAGGTTCCCGCTGGTCCCTGCGAGCAGAGCCTGCTGGGGGCGCTGGCTTTGGAGCTGCCACCCTGCTACCTGAAGTACATCTGGCAGGGACAGGACAGCCAGGGAGAGCCAAATCCTAGAAATCCGGAGCCAGACCTGGGGTGGTGCCGTGCAAAGGCTGAGGGGCATTTCAGGATTCTGGACTGGTTTTCTGGTAACTTCTAAAGCAGTGGTGATGTGCTGAGAAACATCAGTTCTGACTTGCCCTTTTGTTCCCGTTTTTCTGAGATGCACATTAAAAAAATCTCAGAATCAGTTGAGTCTTACCATCCGAGCCAGGTAGAAGTGCTTTGCTGCCCAAGGCCTGAAAACCTGGGGTGCATGTGGACAGCTTGGAGGGAACCCCAGAGAACTCTGAAGAAAGGTTGCGACACCAGGGCTCCTGATGGCACAGAAGTCAATGATTGGTGGAAAAACAGGCCTATGACCCCAAGTTGAAATGTGATTCAAAGAGCTGGACCCTCTGCAGAGGTTTCAGGGATGTCTAAGTCAGTTTATTTGGCTTATGTTTCCTTCCTGTTTGTTCACAAGAGTGACCTATGATAAAACCCATGACTAAAGAAGTCAAATCTTTTTCAACACATAGAGACTTTTTTTATAAACTTCTAAGTGATAAAGCATTGTGTGAGGCTAACGGCAGGATTTTTTAGAGGTACATAAAATAATAATTCATGCCACAGTCAATAATGTCTTAGAGCAGGTGAGGTGCAGACAGGGAGAAGCCTCACTTCTCACCCCGGAGGCCTCTGCAGTCGTACGTAACTTTGAGGAACGAGTCTGTGGTGGGCAGCAAGGTCTGAGAGACAAGGGTTCAGAAACGCCAGCTGCATGGCTGCTCTGGCGCATCTGCTGCCTGGCGCTCCAGGCAGAGGCCAGGATAGGGCAGCACTGCGCATGGAAACAGGTAAGGTGGTGGAGACTGGAAGGTGACTGGAAGGAGCGTGGGGCCACGTAGGGGCATGACGCTGGTAGAACCACGCCCCTGCCCCCCCCCCCAGCATGGACAGGGGGAGGTTCTGAGAGGCCC